CTTTAAAAAGTTTCCATGCAGCTTGCAGGGATTTGGCTCTAGTCATTGTGCCTTTTAATTTCTGTTTAACTAACCTCCTCCTTTTTGCATAATTCCCCTTTATGAAATTAAATGCCAGGGTGCTGGACTGCTGAGGTGTTCCTCCCACCACAGGAGTGTTGAATGTTGTTATATTATGGTCACTATTCCCAAGCGGTCTTGTAATGGTTATCTTCTGGATCTGATCCTGCGCTCCACTCAGGGCTAAATCAAGAATTACCTCTCACCTTGTGGGTTCCTGTACCAGCTGCTCCAAGAAGCAGTCATTTAAGCTATTGAGAAATTTTATCTCTGCTTCTCTTCCTGAGGTAACATGTATCCAGTCAATATGGGGATAATTAAAGTCCCCTATTATTATAGAGTTCTTTATTTTGGTAACCTCTCTAATCTCCCTCAGCATTTCAATGTCAGTATCGCTGTCCTGGTCAGGTGGTCGGTAACATATCCCTACTGTTAATTTCTTATTATTGGAGCATGGAATTACTACCCATAGCGATTCTATTGAACATGTTGATTCATTTAATATTTTTATTTCATTTGATTCTACATTATCTTTCACATACAGTGCCACTCCGCCACCCACCAAGCCTGCTCTATCCTTCCGATATATTTTATATCCTGGTATGATAGTGTCCCACAGATTTTCCTCATTCCACCAGGTTTCAGTGATGCCTATTATGTCTATCTCCTCCTTTAATATGAGGATTTAATATGATCCACTGCATCAGCTAATTGTCCAGATAGGGAAACAACTGGACACCACATTTCTTCAAGAAAGCGGCTACTATTGCAATGTACTTGGTAAATACTGGAGGTGCTATGGAAAGGCGAATGGTAGAGCTGTGAACTGGAAGTCATCGCAGCCCATGGTGAACTGCAGGAACCTTCTGTGGTGAGGTGTAATGGAAATGTGGAAGTAAGCGACCTTTAGGTCGAAGGCAGCGTACCAGTCTCCAAGAGCGAGAGAGGGAATGATCGATGTCAATATCACCATCTTGAACTTGACCTTGGCGATAAAGGCACTGAGGTCCCTAAGGTTCAGGATGGGGTGGAACACACTCCATTCCCTCCTTTGCCTTGGGGACCAGGAAGTACTGGTAGCAGAAACCCTTGCCCATAAACTCCGAGGGGGCACCATTTCAGCCGTCCCAGGCTTAGGAGCTGAAGCACCTCCACCCTCAGGAGATGATCCCTGAAGAGGGATGGGGCAGAGATATGGGTGAGGGGCGAGAGGAATGGGACAGCACAGCCCCTGCCTACCATCTCAAGGACCCACCAGTCTGAGGTGATGGAAACCCAAGCATGGTAGAAAGGGAATAAGAGGTCCAGGAAGGGTACAAGTGAAACTGGTAAGCTGTCCTTAGGCACACCCTCAAAACCCCCTGACGAAGGCCCTGGGTTTTCTTGGCTGAACCCAGCCCTTGGTCAGATGAGGGAAGAAAATGGCATCTCTTGTTCCTGCCGTCCCCATTCCCTCTCCTTCTCCAAGAGAAGTCCGGGTGGGCATATGGCTGGGAATGCCATGGGGTGTTCGGAAAGGGATCACCTCTTGTGGCTGGGAGTCTGAATTCCCAGGGACTTTAATGTGGCCCATGTGTCTTTCAGACTATGCAGATGATGATCGGGCTGCTCCATGAACAAACTTGGTCTTTTAAAAGGCAGGTCTTGTATGGTGGTCTGAAGCTCCAGGGGCACCCCAAACCCCTGCAGTCATGAGCTGCAACGAAGTACCAGGCCCATGGCCATAGTATGAGCAACTGTGTCAGCTGCACGGGACACCACCCTGCCCTCCTCAGAAAGCGACTTAAATTCGGACCAGGAGTCCTGAGGAACAAGCTTAGTAAACTTATCCATAGTAGCCCAGGTAATACAGGCAGTCCCTGAGTTACGCGGATCCGACTTACATCGGATCCGCAGTTACGAATGGGGCCCGTCTCCCTGGTCTCCAGCAGACCAGGGAGAGGAAGCAAAGCGGCGGAGCACGTGCTCCTTGGCTTTGCTCTGCTTTGCTCCCCATCTCCCTGGTCTGCAGACCAGGGGGACGGGGAGCAAAGCGGCGGAACACGCAGACAGCGGCTGACTGGTCAGTTTCAGCAGCAGCTGAATCAGAACGCCTGGGGCAGAGCAGCTTGGGTGCTGCTGGGTTGGTCCAGTAGCGCCGAGGAGCGGCGCTACTGGAGCAACCCA